AATGACCGTTACGTCTACGATGAGATAAACCCGGACGACAACTCTGATTACTCTGATGTCGACGAGAATACGAACACCATCGGCAACATTCCCTTGTCTTTTTACGACCAGTACCCCCATATCGGCTACGATATTAATGGAAAGAAAATCATGCGCCCTGCCACAGGGGAAGCTCTTGATGCGCTGCTCGACAGCATCGAAATTCCTAAGGGCTGGACTGGTCTTACCGATCCCTCGACCGGCAAACCCTTGGAATTGAGCCAGGATGAGCTGGAGTTGTTGCGTAAGGTTCAGATGAACGAAATCCCTGAGGAGGGATATAATCCCTATGAGCCCACAGTGGAATGGTTCAGTAGCAAACAAGAGATTATGCCCTTGAGTGCTGCCCCCGAGCCGAAGCGTCGGTTTGTGCCATCGAAACATGAAGCCAAGCGGGTTATGAAGATCGTCAAAGCAATCAGAGAAGGCCGCATTCTACCTTATAAGCCCCCGACGGAGGAGGAGGATAAGGAACAGGACATAATCAACTATGACTTGTGGGCCGACGAAACGGAGCGACCAGACCATCCCATGCATATCCCTGCTCCTAAACTTCCACCACCTGGTTATGAGGAAAGTTACCATCCGCCCCCTGAATATTTGCCCGATAAAAAGGAGCGAAAGGCTTGGGAGGAGGCTGACCCTGAAGACCGTGAGCGGGAGTATCTTCCCAATGACTTTGGCTCACTTCGGAAGGTTCCTGGGTACGAAAGTTTTGTCAAAGAGAAGTTTGAGCGCTGTTTGGACCTCTACTTAGCACCCAGAGTTCGGAGAAGCAAGTTGAATATCGATCCTGAAAGCCTTCTTCCAAAGCTCCCTAGCCCTGAGGAGTTGAAGCCATTCCCGACTGCCTGTGCTACGGTGTTTAGAGGACACAAGGGTCGTGTTCGCACCCTGGCCGTTGATCCATCTGGACTCTGGCTTGCTACTGGTGGTGATGATGGAACTGCGCGGGTGTGGGAGTTACTTACCGGTCGCCAGTTGTGGAGTGTGAAGTTAAGTGAAGAGGATCCAGTGAATGTGGTCCGTTGGAGGCCTGGGAGGGACGCTGTTATTCTTGCGGCTGCAGCAGGCGACGATATCTTCCTTACAGTGCCCCCTATCGCGGATCCGGAAATTGAGAAGGCCAGTTTGGAGATCATTGACGCAGGCTGGGGATACGCAGCGTCGAAGCCTCCCCCAAGTGCTGCAGAGGAGAACAAGAAGAACATTCCTCCACAGTGGATTCGCCCATCATCATCGCTCACAGAATCCGGGGTGTGCGCTGTCATTCCCCTCCGGTATGTGGTTAAATCTCTCTCATGGCATCGTCGCGGTGATTACTTTGTTACTGTGTGCCCCGGCTCCTCGACCCCAGCTTCTGTGGCCATATCTATCCACACACTTTCCAAACATTTGACTCAGTTCCCCTTCCGCCGACGTATCAAAGGTGGTGGGCCACCTCAAACCGCTCATTTCCATCCCTCGAAACCTATCCTTTTCGTTGCGAATCAACGAACAATTCGTGCTTATGATTTATCCCGCCAGCTCCTTGTCAAGATCATCCAACCCGGAGCTCGCTGGATCTCTTCTTTCGACATTCACCCGACGTCTTCAACTGCCTCCGGAGGGGATAACCTCATCGTTGGATCGTACGACCGTCGTCTACTGTGGCATGATCTTGAGCTTTCTCAGCGTCCGTACAAGACGTTGCGGTACCACCGCAAGGCTATCCGCTCTGTCCGGTTTCACCCAAGCGGACGCTATCCTCTGTTCGCCGACGCAAGTGATGATGGCTCCCTCCAGATTTTCCACGGCAGCGTTACGGGTGATATGCTCAGTAATGCCAGTATTGTTCCTCTCAAAGTCCTTAAGGGCCACAAAATTACCGGAGAATTGGGTGTCTTGGATGTCGACTGGCACCCTCGGGAAGCTTGGTGTGTCAGTGCAGGTGCGGATGGAACTTGTCGGTTGTGGATGTGATTACACGCCATCGTATATATTTGTCAGTCCGCACTACTACCATTTGGCCCAGCCATTTCTCCATGAGGCGTCCGTTGTGTATATTATTAGTCTTAGATATCCATCGCAAAAGTTCTATCCACTTGATACATCCCTTGTATTTCTACCACAGACTGGCACTCTACAACATCAGCCTTGTCGGTTACTTCGTACAATTTACCCTCCTTATCCTTGTCTTCTTCTCAGCTGAGAGCAGTATATTACCGGACAAGCTGTGGGATTGTATGATATTATAGTAGCATTTAACCATACATCTATAGCTTTTCTTCCCCAACGACCCACAGCAATGTAACATGGATGGAAAAGAGAATGATCTAGTTAAAAGAATTATCTATATAACACCTCCGCTCCAATCTCTCCGCAGCTTCTCATATTTTTTAAGGTCTGTAACACTAGGCCGGATGAATGCTTTCGCAGCCACAAAATCTTCATGCTTTATTGTGTCCCTCCGCTTGATGGCAGCGTATCCAGCACGGCGGAGCAAGCTTCCCAGGTCAGCACCGCTGAACCCTTCACAATCTTCGGCCAACCTTCTGAGGTCGTCGTTGAAGTCGACAGGAATGTTGCGGACTAGTGTCCGTAAAATCTCAGCCCGCTCCAAGGGGCTAGGCAGGTTCACGAAGAGAAGTGTCTCCAGCCGACCTGGACGAAGCATAGCGGGATCGATAATATCCGGCCGATTCGTGGCTGCTATTATGTAGATTCCTTGGCGATTACTGCCCAGGCCATCAAGCTCAGTGAGTAGCGTATTGACTACACGTGCAGAGGCTTCAGAAACAGTGTCGTCTCGTCGTGGTACTAGGGCGTCAAGCTCATCAAAGAATATAACACAAGGGACGGACGAGCGAGCGCGAACAAATACTTGTCGTACCGCACGTTCGGATTCACCGACGTATTTATTAAGTAACTCAGGGCCCTTAACACTGATAAAGTTGGCATGAGACTCGTTGGCCACAGCCTTAGCGAGCAATGTTTTACCGCACCCAGGCGGACCCCAGAGGAGAACGCCAGTGGGGGCTGTAATGCCAACACTCGCGTAAAGGCTGGGATTTTTGATAGGCTCGACAATTGCAGTAGTAAGTTCTTCACGGACACCCCCGAGAGCGCCGACATCTTCCCAAGTTGTGTCTGGGATGGTGGCAAATCCCTCTCGTTTAGAGGAGGGTTGAATCTTAGGAAGTGCAATTAGGAAGTCTGCATTTGAAATGAGAACCACTTGCACTTCCTCTCCGATTGGCGTTTCTTTGGCATGCGTGATTAACCGCCGCAGCTCCTTGACCTTGGGACTGAGATCATCTGCCTCTTCGATATCCATTTCCTCTCCGCTGTTTGCTTTTAGTATCTCCAAGTATCGTTTTATGGCAGCAGAGCCAGCAGTGGAAACTAAATCATTAAGATCGGCTCCCACGAAACCAGCCGTTCTATTGGCCAAGTATTTGAAATCTATGTCGTCTGCCAGACGCATCTTGCGCGTTAGTGCTCGTAGGATCTGCTCTCTGACAGGTTCCGAGGGTACAGTCATGTTGATTTCCTTGTCGAACCTCCCTCCTCTACGCAAGGCGGCGTCCAGGCTGTCCGGTCGATTCGTAGCGGCAAGAACAATCACGGGCTTTCCATCGGTTTTCTCCAGCGCCAGGTCGTCCATGCATGTTAGAAGCTGGGCAACAATCCTCTTTTCCATTTCCCTCTGCGCACTTTCTCTCTTTGGAGTGATGGCGTCTATCTCATCGATGAAAATAAGGCAAGGTGCTATCCTCTTGGCTTCCTCAAAATATTCTCGTAGCGCCTTTTCAGACTCTCCTGACATACCCGAGACAATGGAGGGTGCTGATATTGAAATGAATGGCACGCCCAACTCCGCCGCGAACGCGTTCGCAATCATAGTTTTTCCGCATCCTGGTGGGCCATGTAGCAGCACACCTCGGGGAGGCTGTACATTCGATGACATATAAACCTGTGGACGGGTCATGGGTAGGATGACAAGATCTCCAAGCTCTTGGACCACGTCGTCCAAGCCACCCAAATCTGAAAGGCTGACATGTGTAGGCGGAGATCGATCAATCGCGCTCTCGGCCTTGCGGCGCTTGGAAGAATGGGACTCGCCCCCATGTTGTCGTCTCTTGCTTGACTTAGGCGCAGGGGTTGCAGCTTCTGCGCCATTGGTCTCAGGCGCCTTAGAGGGTGCTGAAGATGTGTTGTTCCACATGCCCACAATGCTCTTATTCAGGCTATTGGATGCCTACAACAGTTAGTCGCTCTCTGACGTTGCGTGAGGCTAAGAAAGGAAAAATGGGGTCCTTACCGGAGCAGGGGACTGTTGTTGTTCTTCCAGGCCTTCAAAATCTCCGGTTACAGAGTCATCTTCATCTTCCCCAAGTAAATCTGTTTTTATTACCTCCACAACCCGCTCGATACTGTCTTCTAGGATTCTCTTCGGTTTTCGGTTCAAACTAGAATTTGACCTTTTGATGGAGTCGTAAATGGTCGGAACCGAAAGGCGAATTTTATCATTCTCGGCTTGGTCCTCGATAAATTTGTGCACGACCTGGTAGACCTATAGACGAGAGGCAATTGGCGATAAGAAACAAACATTAGAGGCTGGAAGTAGGATGTGGTCCTTACCTCACGATCTAGACCCTGCCGTAAAGTCGGTCTACCTCCGCGACGCATGATATGCAACACCAATCCCAGTGAGCACTTGGCTCTGCAAAAAACGTCCCGAGAAACGGAGATGGCTAACGCCAGAACTGACCGATAACAATATACCGAGGGGACTTTTTTTCCTCCGACAGTCTTAGGGTTCGGGGAATAGATTTGCCGGCGGACCGTAATATATGTACTAACTTAGTATGGACAGTGCATCACCTATAGCACGGTATGTACCACGTATTGTACGGTACATACCGAGTCAATTATCGTACTTAACGGTCGAACCAACGTCATTTCCATATCGCACTAGGCCAACAGGCGGACCGGACTTCATCAGTACAATATGTGTTGATAATGGGCAACACGAATAGCTCCCATAAGGTATCCGCACAGGATAAGTGAGTCCCATTCTGGCCCTCTTTTATTTCCATGTCCATCTGTTGCTCGCTGCTATAACCATCCGTGAAACATGGCCCTTGTGACTTGACCCTTCCCTTCGAACTACTAACTAACATTCAAGTATTGCGTACTTAGAGCCATTCTTGATTTGAAAATCCAGCGGGACAAGCTCCGTCAGTATGGGAAGCGTATAACGGTCCTCACCGATCGCGAAACTGAGATCGCAAAGGAATGCCTTGCCCGGGACGATCGCAAACGCGCCCTCCTCGCTTTGCGCCGCAAGAAATATCAAGAGTCGCTTCTGATCAAGTCCGAAAAGGAGCTCGATCAATTAGAACAGTTGATCAATCAAGTTGAATTCTCGCTCGTCCAGAAAGATGTCCTCTTTGGGTTACAGCAGGGTACGCAGGTACTACAGGCTATCAACAAAGAGATGGGGGGTATCGAAGGAGTTGAAAAACTAATGGGTGAGACGGAAGAAGCACGGGCGTACCAAGAGGTAAGGACTTCTAGGCCAGCTAATATGTGGAATGTCTGCATGCTGACGAGACGGCGGTGGAACAGGAGATCAGTCAGATGCTCTCGGGGAACCTATCGAACCAGGATGAGGATGAAGTTGAGGATGAGTTGGCTGCGTTACAGCGGGAAACGCAAAGACTGCAGAACCTACCACATGCGCCAAAGTCGAAACTCCCCGAAAGGCCAAACGAGGAAGAAAGCCAGGAAATCCAATACCAAGAAGGCGGCAAAGCCAAGGCGCAATCCGCAATCCCAGCCTAAATTATATACCATTGTCCCCACACTTCGCTACAGATTGGAGTCATATGTGAAATACCAAAAGCGATTCTGGCACGGATGGAACTGCCGGATTTATGCCATTCAGTACATCCCTAGTTATCTGCTCTTCCAATAATAGAATTTAAATTGATTTGGGATAGCATTGTCAGCCCAACCCTGATACCGAAAACTCTATTGCGCCGCTTCCTTCACTGCAATCTTGGATTAGTCGGCCATCATCTATGACACATACTCCCTGGCTTGAGGCGGTGGCTCTCTAGAAGCATACAATGTGCATACAATGTGCATACGTGACTCACTGGCCGGGCATGATCCTACCTCCCACGCCAGTGACGCCTTGAATTGCGACGTGGTCACTGGGATTGGCTGCTGCTTCATAGAGAAAGCTGACGGGCTCCCTATTCAAGGCCATAAATTGACCCTTGAACCCAACATAACCAACCTTAGTCACATCCTCATTCCCATCGCTCCAGTTGTCCTCAAAGAACAAGGTAATGGAGGTAGTAGCATTCCAGTGAGCGCGGTTCAATGGCAAATCGAAGACATCGGCTCCGGGAACTGGCTGCGGGATCTCCACTGACTGTGTTGGCTTCAGCTCTGAAGCAGTCGCAAAATCTAGATCGTCACGGTTCTTGAACAATTTCAGGGTCTTCGGGGCGGCCGGTGTCGGAGCCGTGTAAATGATTAAAGAATGAACCTTTACTTGGCCAGTGAAGCTGTGTACAAGGTCAGAGCTTGGAACTATCAGAAGAGAAGGGTAAAGGAATTAAAAAGACGGCAAAGGCAGATAGGAATCATCAGAAGTGAGCTTCGGGTGGTAGTTAGGTTGAAAGTATCTTGAGACCGGTCAGAGGAAGGAGGGGTCCAACTTGTAATAGGTGGGGTAAACCAGAGGAGCAAAAAAGAAAAGAAAGAAAAAAAATTTCAAGCTGAGAAGATCACACCACTTACGGGATATACATAAGCAGTTGCTCGTCTGCATCACTTTCAAGCTCCGGTTGGTCATTTAGTCTTTCGGCCCAGGTTTTCTGGACAATCGCAGCGCCGGCGTTGGGGGTTGCTTCTATAACTTCGGTTTAGCACTTGTATAGAATAATATAATGCCATGTCCGTAACCATGTCGCTCTTACCATTTAGCGTAACGATCGAATCAAACTGGATTTGGGAATAGAGGAGGGATTGGAGAGCTGGGGTGATATCATTTGAATGATCATGTCCATCTTCTCCATGACAATGACTGCCGTGATCGTGGTGGTGATCCCCGGGCATACTGGGTTTGAGTATGGTATTGTTGAAAGCCGGTTTTTCTGGCGTAGACCAGAAGATAAATATCACCTGTACTTAGAGTCATGCACTGCACATCGAAAGGTGATTGTGGGGGTTTTTTTTCTTACAGAGCTGTGGTGAGAGATAAATTATGTTAATCTTTTAGTTTGTGTGCTAACTTTCCGATTGAATGGATTAGATCCAATGTCACTGTTTTCAAAATTGTTAAACTCGTAAAACCTTTTGAAAAGTACTAAAAGAAACAGATCAAATTCAAGATATATTTTCTGATAAATTCACATTTTTTTTTTGCTTCTGCTTCTTCTTCTTCCGACCTTCCTACTTTCTTTTCAAACTAAGCATACCTAGTCCATTTCATGGGAATGGAGACTGTTACTGTCGTGGCTCAGCACCTCTCCCTACTTCTCTCTTTTCTCGTCTTCCTTCACATACACCTTGCTTTCTTCTTAAGCGTGGGTTTCAAGCGTAGCCGTAGTAGTCATCTAGAATACACACATCATCTAAACCTCTATGGTCGCCCTGAAACTGGATGGTACCCGGTAGGTTAAGTGCAGTAGTCATAGGGTATTTTTGCCCCCAACGAGCCGTACTAAGGAGTTATTAGTTGACTTTGTAATAATTAGGGGCGTACTCCAGAAGCCAGCCCCTTTCGATCTTCGTGATATCCCGAATGAATGTCTTTTCACCTGTTTGCAATATCTCGTGGAAGATGACCCAGTCCGCTTTTCGATTCTAAACTCGGGTTAGTAGGGAAATCGAAAGGTCACGACGATTTCTAAAGAATAGAAACACATACGAACATCAACGAACTGGGGTGAGCATGTAGAGTAAGGCCACCAGTAGCAGACTTGAACGTTCCGTTTGGTTGCATCTTTGCGGCATGTGCAAAATAACCAGCCGTGAGGCACCTCTGGATATTCTCAGGGTATCTACTAGTACTGGAATCTGCCTTAGGGTGGAATGAAGGACCCTCATCTATCCGGATGCCGAAACGTTCGAGGTATCTCTTAAGCTGAGCCCTGATGCTCATTGCCCGTTGCAAGGATCGGTAATTCAAAAGATTGTCTCGGCACCACTTGGGATCTTTCTTCCCTATCGTGATAAAAGCCTGATATACATTCAAATTCGTCAGATGGTCACCCTCTTCAACAGCGAATCTTCTGCGACTGCTCTCTGCCGCCCTTTTATCACCCTCGTGCTGGACCCACACTGATCCCTGTAAGTTGACCATTGCTGCAATTGAAAGTATCTCACTTAGGCAGTTAAACGATTGTGCAGAAAGCAGAGCTTTCGCCATCATAGGGTCCACAGCTACTTCTGCCATCCGCATACCCAGTGGCTTGGTGAGCTTGGCATAATCATCAACGACCCCAAGAGAGTAAAGGAGTTCGAATGCACGCATAACAAGTTCTGCAGGCGGAGGCGTCAAGAAGTCAAAGCGAGCTATGTTATCTATTCCCAACGCCTTAAGCTGCATGATCACAGGGGCAAGATTTGACCGCTGGATTTCTGGGACTGTGGCTTCCAGAAGTTGTTCATAAGCCTGCTGGGTGTAGAGACGGAAGCATTTTCCGGGTTTAGTTCTTCCGGCTCGACCTGCACGTTGAACTGCCGCAGCCTTCGATATTGGGACTGCTGTTAACGTTTCAATGCCAGTACTAGGATCAAAGGCCCTTAACTTTGCGAAACCGCAGTCGACGACATATGCAATGCTGTCAATAGTAACAGAAGCCTCCGCGATGTTCGTTGAAACAATGACTTTGCGTGTATTTTCTGGCGCTGGTTCGAAAACGTACATTTGTTGATCCGTTGGGAGACCGGAATACAGAGGTAGAGCGACTAGTGCCTGTGCTCTAGGGTGCAGCGTTGCGACACGTTCTGATATCAACTGTACTGCCGAATCGATTTCTTCACGGCCCGTTAAGAATACCAGAATATCGCCTTCCACTTCTTGTAGATGTATGTCAAAAACGGTTTTTACAGCCCGTTCGACATAGTCTTCTGCGGGTGACTCGAGGAAAAGTATGTCCACAGGGTACATTCGGCCCTCTAGACTGATAATCTTTCCAACATCTCCCCCCTTTCCAACCGAGTCCATCCCGTTCTGGAACTGATCTCCGGCGAAGAAGTGCAAAATATCTTCTGCCTGCAGAGTAGCACTGCTGATAATAATCCTTAGTTCAGGACGCCGCTTCAAAATTTTCTTAAGGATCCCCAAGAGTATGTCAGTGCTTAGAGACCTCTCATGTGCTTCATCCACCATGATTACTGAATAGCGTGACAGTAGTGGGTCTACAAGGGCCTCTCTAAGTAGCATTCCATCTGTTAGGAACTTTATCCTTGTTGATGCAGAGGTCAAGTCCTCAAAGCGAATAGAATAGCCCACCTCCTCGCCAACCCTGCAACGCATTTCCTCAGCCACTCGAGCTGCGACAGTCGTGACTGCAACACGGCGCGGCTACAACAGTTTAGCTTTTATTCCAAATGGACGAGTATTAATGAACTGAGACAGAACGGGAGATACCTGAGTTACTGCTATAGACTTTCCATCTGCACACCATCCTGCTTGGTCTAGATACTGGGGTAGCTGGGTCGTCTTCCCACTTCCAGTTTGCCCAACAACAATTGTAACGGGATATGTGTCAACAAGGTACAGTAAATTTTGCCTATGTCTGGCGATAGGCAGTAGAGCAGCGGGTTTGTACAGTGATGGAATGAAGGCAGATGTGAGGTCTAGCTCCGAAGCCATTCTTAATGGGTGAAGTACTAAAGTTCAGTGACACAGTTGCAATCCGAAGTGTTATCAACCAAACAATATTCTAGTGCCGCCTGACGCAGGTGGCTGAGACATACTGGGTATAAAATCTGCCTATAATACTAACGATTTAGGATAACAAGGTGGACTAGTACATATATGTTCCAAAGTGAAAAACAAAACTGCAACAGGATTAGATAAGCGATGGGTATCCATCACGTGGCCCAACGTCACTGCGCATCGGGAGCTAACCAGGAGCTTCCAATACTCCAGGCTCCAGGCTCCGTCCCGTCCTCCAGGCTACTACTACCACCCTTTGCTTTCTACTTGTCAGACTCAACAGCACACTTCCTCTCGTGCTTGTCGACGATATCTCGACTACTTTCGATTACATTTTAATTTAATATTTCAGATTCGGTCAGTTTTGTCATGGCTGACGAAGACAAAACGGTTCGTTTCCGTATCTGTCACCCGTGCATACAAAACACTGACTGATTTGATACTAGAATACCAACAAGATTACCCCGGGCCCATATAGTCCTAAGCCAGAGTCTCCTACGACGGCACGCCCGCTGGATTTTGATGATGAACCTCAAGAATCTGGCATCACCTCGGTGTCTGCGGCCGTAGCTCAGCAGAATGCGACAGAAGCTGCCCCGCAAAAACCGCCGCGTCCATTGAGCCCGCAACAACAGTCCGAAACAACCCTCAAAGAAGCGTTCCCTACTATTGAAGTGTCAGTAATCAAGGCAGTCTTGGTAGCCAGCAACTGGGACGTTGAACGCGCTTTCCATGCTCTCCTTGGTTTGTGGATCTTTACCGCTAAAGGTGTCATCGTTGATTATTAATCTGTGTAGGTATGACTGACCCCAGCGCTGCCGAGCAAGATGTTCCTCCTCCAAAGCCACCTCGCCCCTCCGCAACACAAAGGCAGCTGGAAGCAGATGAATTATATGCTCGCCAGCTTGCGGAGCATTACAATCGCCGTGCACCTCAATCCCGCTTGGAGGGTGGCCATCCATATGATCGGACGAGAAGGGACAGTGAGCTGTCGGAGGACAGAGAATATAGTTTTTTTGATGGTATCGTTATTGATCCTTTAGGAATATCTTCATGGTTTACTAATGATCGTAGATGATCTTCCGGTGATCCGTGACAACATCCGCAAAGGATTTCTAGAGACCCAAACAAAAGTTAACTCGTGGGTTCAAAACCTAAAGAAAAGACTTGATGGCGAAGATCAGGATGGGGCCCCGTCCAGTCAGGGCTATCGCAATGAGAGTGATGGCCAGACAAGGAGAAGCGGAGAGCTGGGCCGTCGTAGCGGGGATCGCGAACGCTATGACGCAGATCCCCGGGTTCTAAGTGACGATTTTTCAGCCCTCGAAATGAGAGATACAGAAGGTTTGTCTTGTTAAAGGCTTCCTTGATTCACTATGGCAGCTGTACTGACTTCTGGGATAGCTCCTCCACCAAGGCCACCAAGGCCGCTTGCCAATCCTAGCCTCTACAAGACCTCGTCGTCTTCACCAGACAGACGTAAAGTGTCTTTCCAAGAGGGTCCGCCCACTGAAATCGGGGGCAATCTTTACGATGCATCCGAATCGTCTAGATTTTCTCCTGCGGGTGGTAAACCCAGCAAATGGCAACCATTATCTACTGTTGAGCCTTCTCCTGTTGGAGATCATGATCCATTTAGCCTAGGCGATAGCGAGGATGAAAAAGATACCAAGCCTAAGGATCAGACTCCCGCCGATGGGGGTGACCGTATCAAGACAGCCACAGCCGAGGCGATTTCTGGCGAGCTGCCTTCCGCATCAAAAGCAGATAAGAAGGCAGATGGTGGAAAGTCTTAACGCCGTGTCAGCAGTATGCTTTTTTTTTATCTCCTCTTAATTTCATACGCGGTCATGTTATGCCTTTCCGTACTTCTTCTGAATTGACGCCTAGAGTTTACAATGATACCAGAGATTGCAGCACAATACCAAAGCTGATTTAACATACATAAATGTGTCAATACAATGAAGCAAAACACCACAATGTAACGAGTTTCTTTGTTGTAACTATACTTCCAATGTCTGGAAAGAGGGTATCACTGAATTAAAGCCGCGTAAGGGAATTAGAGAAGAGAAGAAGACGCGAAGTCAGAACTGCATCTATTCACCAAGGTCATTCTCATTCGTGGTGAGCCGTGGAGCGGCTGTGGCTTCTTTTCTCAAGTCCTTTATGATCGTCTGAGCATTTAAAGGGGAATGTTAGCACTCTAGCGCCTAAAGGAGAGAAGATGTATTGGAAGCCCGAAACTCACAGCAAGGGCGTCCGGGTTGACGCCGTTCTCGATGAGTGAGACGCAAAGGGAAAGATCAGTTCTGTCTAAAGCCGTGTTCTACATATCCAGTGGATCAGATAGTCAGGACGGAGGTGAAAAATATAGCAATACGAAAGACAACGCCATGGGAAAGAATGGATCTCTCACATACAAGAAGTGTGGAGATCTCGTGAAGAATGTCAATAACTTCGCGTGCCGCCTGACGCTTGTCGTCGGGTTGAGAAGGCATTTTTAGAATTCGATGTGCCCAAAAAGAGTAGGAGGGAACAAAGAAGAAAAAAATTAAGAACTAAAACTAGAATAAAATACTGGGGTTTGAAGTATTGGCAACAATGTCAGATATGCGCTAGAGATGGTGAACTACTTGGGAGAGGTCCAGTTCGAAATACCCGGCCAATGGATAGATGCAATCCAGTCACGAAGGTCAGCTGATTGGTCACGGCCACCACCGGCAAAAGGTCCATGGTGGAACTCCGGGCCAAGGAACTTTAGGAGTTCTTTATCTATAGATTTTATAGTACTCCATGCTCAATAAGTGGACTACTACTAACTATAGTACTTCTGTCCAGTGGTGGGGAGAGTTGTCACGCGTACGATTGGTTCCTGGCGATCGGAGGATTTCCCTGCATGGATGGACGGATCTACTATTCCGTACAGATATTCGCTTTCGCGATGAACAAATCGCTGCCTGCCAAAATACCCTATCTTGATGCCCTATCGGGCTATCGAGACGCGCCACGCCTCTACAGCCTATCTCTAACAATCTAGAATGTAGGTCCCGGAAGGATCTTCAGGAATGTGGAATAGGGAATTGAACATATCAGACATCCATTCCTTGGAAAGGAGCCACGCATTCGAAGTTCTCACTCAGATTAACACGCGTCGAGAAGAAGCCGCTCCCCACCAATGAGGCTTTGGGATCCAGTGAAAAACTCTGGGAGAAGAAGCCGAATACGAGAGTCTTGTATGCGACAAGTGTGGCACTGGATGCATGCTTCCCTTTAGTCGCTTGTCTATGTTCAACATGAAGGACGAGCACTGTCACACAAACTCTTGTATAGGAAGTCATTATCGACAAGGCGTCGAGATGAAACTACTGGGTTATATTCGACAATATCTGCAATAGGAGGCTGCTAGAATATCCAGTTATGCGTGGACAAGGCTAGAACCCCATCCCGATGCCTGTGTCTCTAGCTTGGATTCGAAGAACGTGAGTAAATCGCCAATTACTACGCGCCAGGGCGCTCAGATCAGAGAGATACTCGACCTCACTCGTGGCGCTTGACGTGTAGACCTATCATTCTCCGATACATCTACCTCTGTCAGCCCCCTTCGAGAGGAATGGTACTCTCAAGGGCACCTTTTTCCTCTCCTCCCTTAGTTTTTAACTTTAGGAAGGGACAAACACGTATGATTGCTGACATTCTTCGCCTACCAACCCCTCAAGTACTCGAAGGAGTCAAGCCCTACCGGAAGTTCTGCTCGGGGGACCTCCTTGGCTCCCACAAGCCATGCCCCTTGCATGACTGTGCATTTCGCGAAGTGTGCTTTATCGCGCGCCAGTTACTGCTGTTATTACTCTTCGCCGATTATTCGCCATAATTTAGTGACGTCAAAGATATCTAGGTATGGCTCGGATGAAGGGGCCTCACGAATCGCGCTTCTCCTGTGCTTTGACTAGCCCTTAGGCGCGATCACCGGGGAGAATGGGAGTCCCTATTCCAAGGATAGACAGACATATTCTCCCATGTCCATTTCAGGTTCTTCTTACAACTTATTTTCTACTCTTCAACTAATTTTCGCGCCACCCAAATGGTCGCCAGAATATCTCCTGGGTGGACAACAGAATATTTGCCTGTTCTATCGATCAAGTATCGTCTAGAACAGTTCTGTCTATCTCGAAGACATGGCGCTTATCTGGTTGATTATCCTTGGTTTTACGTGGATTGTTGATGCAAAGTTGGTTTCAAACTACCCAATCAATTCACAGCTGCCACCTGTGGCACGGGTCGCACAACGATATCAGTTTGTTTTTTCCCAGGGCACATTCGGTGGGAGCGACTCGGAAACAACATATTCCCTCTCAAACGCCCCATCATGGCTTCGGGTGGATAGCACAAGTCGCACTTTATTCGGCACACCTGGGGGGAAAGATGAGGGGACAGTGAAATTTGATCTTGTAGCATCGGATGAATCAGAGTCAGCAAGTATGGAAGTCACTCTCATCGTGACAGAAGATGATGGACCAAAACCTGGAAAGCCATTGCTTCCTCAGCTCGAAGCGATTGCCGCGACATCCGCTCCATCAACAATCCTGATTCATTCTGGGGACGCCTTTGACATATCTTTCGATTATGACACATTTACCAACACCCGCCCTTCCACCGTGTACTATGGGACATCTCCAGACAATACCCCGCTACCTTCCTGGGTGGGATTTGACCAGTCAAATCTTCGATTTTCAGGTGTTGCACCTAATACTGGGCCTCAAACTTTCGCTTTTAGCCTTGTCGCCTCAGATGTGGCTGGTTTCAGCGCAGCCGCCATGAATTTTGATATGACTGTCAGCCCGCATATTCTCTCATTCAACCAAAGCGTGCAGACTTTCTTCGTTAGCAGAGGAGAGCAGTTTACCAGCCCTCGGTTCAAGGAGGCGTTGAGATTAGATGGGCGAGAACCGGCAAATGCTGATTTGACTGATATCCAAACAGACTCTCCTTCTTGGATAGAGTTTGACAACACTACTCTCTCATTCACAGGGACTCCACCGGTTGGTGTGGCGGATGAAAATATCACTATTTCCGTCACAGATAGGTATCAAGATATAGCAAGGCTTATCGTTAGTCTGCAATACTCCCAATTCTTTCACGATATAGCTGAATGCGATGCGGTCGTCGGAAGCTACTTCTATTTTGTTTTTGACAATACAGTCCTGACCAATGATTCCGTTCAACTTGAAGTCGACCTGGGAACTCAGCTCCCATGGCTGCAGTACAATTCCGATAACAAAACTCTTTACGGCCTTGTTCCAGCTGATTTCAGCCCGAACAAATATACAGTCAAGCTTTCCGCTCATGAGGGGACCGCGGAAGATACCAAGAAATTTGCAATTAATATCTTGGACAAAGCAAATTCTCCTGGTCAAGGGGCAGACAAGCCCGGAGGCTCTGAGGGAATCCATGGAAAGAAAGCCGGAATAATTGCTATTTCGGTCGTAATTCCTTTTGCCTTTTTAATGAGTCTTTTGCTTCTTTTTTGTTGCTGGCGCCGCAAGCGCAGGACACATGAAGAAGAACAGCTGTCGAAGGAGAAAGCACCAGACTCAAATGGCTCAGAGCTACCATGTTGTCAGCCTTCTGAAGAAACCACCCAATACAATCTCTCTAAACTGACCAGAGATTCCCCGGAACTAGCCTCGAACCCACCAAAACTGGAACTAGGGCCTTTGTGGGACACAAGTCCCTTGGACGGCGGTGAACAGGGACGACCTATCGAAGGCAGGACAAACACACTTTCCGCTTCGACCATTGATTGGGATATCGCACCATTAAAAGTATCTGAACCGGAAAAGGAGAAACAGGTCGACGATATTGCCATTCCACCTAAGCGGCTGTCGTTCCAGAACAGTCCGCCTATGCGCAGGCGAACTACCACTAATTCACGAAAGCGAGAACCTCTCAAACCAATCCAACCAAGGAGATCGTTGAAGCGAAACTCGGTGCACTCATCCAAATCAAAAAGGTACTCCAAACGTTCTAGTGGGATATCATCTGTTTCATCAGGACTTCCCGTAAGGCTTAGCGGTGCAGGGCACGGTGCCGGTGGCTTCGGACCTCCTGGACATGGAGTAGTCAGAGTGTCATGGCAAAATACGCATGCATCTTTCCAAAGCGACGAAAGCGGCGTTGGGAATCTAGCACCTTTGTTTCCTCGGCCCCCACCTCGCGCAAGAGGTAGTGTAGAGCTTTCAAAGCGGATGAGCTTACGAACTGTTGAGCCTGACACACTGACAATTTCGGAGGCTGATTCTTTGGAGGCCTTCGTTCACAGTAGGGCGAAGAACCGAAACTCGTCCAACCCCATGTTCTCCGGTCAGTTTGGCCGCAGAACATCTTCAGGTCTTCGTGCGCTGGAAAGAGCTCGAAGCACAGCTAGCCGCACTGATACTTTGTATAGCTCCAGTTGCTATGATGACTACAGACGATCCATACATGAACGTCCGTGGTCTACGGCAATGTCTGCCTCTATCTATACGGATGACAACCGACAGTCTACGTATTTAGAATCTCTGTCCGAAGAATCCCTGAATGTACGGCCAGTGGCTTCAATGGCCAGAGGACTGAGCCAATCAAGCCTGGCCCAGAACTACTCGGAGGCAATAGGACCGCTTCCTCGGTTGCTCAGCGAAATAAGCCTTGCCAGTGCGCGGCACGCTGAGTCGCATGAAGTGCACGACGACTTAGGGGGTCCGCAACATATCGGTGAACGTCAAATCCATGAAGCAGGGTGGTAGGCCTAACGCGACTTCACTCCTGCAAAGCGAAGGTGCTGGCGCTAGTCCGCAGACACTGCGTACGAGTCCGTCAACCTCGTCCATCCAATTTGACGGCAAGGTTTAACGGGCAAGTTTGATTCGGCAAGCGGCTCGGGAAGCAGGAGGGAAGCGAGGCCTGCAGAGGGAGCTAACTGAAAGCGGGAGGAATTACAGATGAAGTCTTTTATGTGAGCAGTACCCTTGTGCTGTATATAGTTGTCGTTTTGCGCGCTGTGTTGTTGGCCCATTGCATTCTCCATCATGATATCCTTGTTATTCATGTACAAGTACCTTTTATGTTTCATATATCGCTGATATTCATACCCAGGGGGCCAGATAAAAGCAGTTATAGTATCGTAGCAGTAACATGTTAGTAGATAATCTATGTACCTCAATTGTGTCATCATCTAAATATGTCGTGATCACGTGTCGTGCCCTTATCATGTCTTCAACGCAGGCTAGCGGCGTCGATCGGGGCCGCAGCTCCCCATTCCGTTCAGCGAAGACGCCGAACTGAAAGCTGCGCAGAATTGTCCACTTTGATTTCTGCTGTATCCCCTTGTCACTATTCAATGCTCCGTAGAAAAGATACTACATGAATCGTTGAATGCTTCTGACTCGGGGGTGTTTTATGGGATACCTACTCCGACCACTTTTACTCTGGTCTTTTCCCACCTCTTTTCAATTGCACTGCGACTGTCTATATTTGAGTTACTCTACTTGCCCTTTGATTCGGTCATAGTCATGGCGGCGCAGGCGGCTCTCATCGCCGATACAATCGTTGGTATGAAAAGGGCTTTACGTAAAGAAAATGACTGTAAGTCTTACTGCTTCCCTTTACTTCTCGTTTTCCAGCCATACCTCTCTAACTCAGGCTTTTGATTGTAGTCTCAGGCCCGGATGATCCTATCGCTCAGCCGACAAACCGAGGCAACAAGCTACGGACAAACGCTAAACATGTGCGGGAGGGCGCGCTGGGGTATATCCAGCCGGAAGACCTTTATAAGCAGGTAGGCACCGCTCCGCGGCCATTGAAGGTCCCTCCAGGGTGCCCTCACTTCTTCGTTCTAGGCCGGAATAAGACCTCAGCGGCTGATATTCATTATGTCTTGCACAGAAAATTGATCATGCTGGGTACACTCGCTATATTCTACAGCCCAATCCGGTGCGCTACGACTCTGAGGGGGATGAGCTAGACGAGGATGATGAAGACTCTGAGGCAGATGCCGCTGCGGCGGAAGAGAATCCATTTTCTGAGATCGTATTAGAGAGTTAGTATCTCGTTTCCCCATTGCAGATGATTCATAACCTTCCCGAACGACTGATGCGAATGTGCTTACTAGATTTCCTGTGCCCATTAAAACATCCATCGGAATTACCTACCCACCCTTCCTTGTCCCATGCCTATACATCAAATGCTCTCTCGAACATGACCAAGGCCATTGAGGCTAAACTACGCCAGGAAAGGACGCTTTTATGGCGTGCGCGGAACCTCCACAGACTGTTCCTTGGCGATAGCTCTTGGATGCCATGTGGAACAGTTGAAACTCCCGAAGACAGATGGATCTTTGAGCCTCGGCTTGTCACCCCGGGCCACAAATCTCCAGTCGGCCCAAATGAACAGACCGGAGTTCCCAGTCCGACGAGAGTAGAAATGACAGGTCGTAGCCATGGGTCACATAATTTTGTTCCAATTGTCAGGACATCAAATGAGGCCCAGACAGCGGAAAGTAAGGACACCCAAAGTTCCCATGCTGCAGAACAAAACATTGAAATGGCTGGTGTTCACAATCATGAGATGGAGGGTGGTGGCCCTACGAATAACCATGAGCAGACAAGAGAGCTCAAGTCCGAAGAGGTTGAGACTCCCGTTGGAAACCTTCCCCAGCATCTAGACATTGTTGAAGGGACCACCAGTGAAGCAGTGAACTCACACTTGGAACGCAGTCAAATATCAGACGGCGATGGGCTCCATGGAAACAGAAAAGGAATTGCGAATGATCGAACTGACTCAGGAAACGAGAACATCGATACGGCCTATGAGGGTCCCGGAAATGTCCATGGTGATGAAACGGACAAAGATGAAGAGATGCAAGACGGGTTCTCCCCCGAGCCACCTCGACGGATGACGACTCGAGCTCAGGCTAATGCAGCAAATCCACAAGAGGATGAATCAGATCACTTCCTATCATCTCCTTCCTCTGACACCCTCAGCTCACTTCCTATACCACACCCTCTCTTTCTCGTGCCTGACTCTATCCGTTCAGATCCCAATCTTGGTCTGTCGTCCATGGAAGCCGAAGATACACGACGACTCCTGTGGTCATATGTGCAGAAACAGGAGGAGACTGTTAGGGGATTCGAGCACATGTTGGAATGCCTGCTTCGAGCTTGTCGTATGAAAGATGATGTGCTCGAGTGGTGCAAAGCGGAAGGCCATGTGGGCGAAATGAGTGACGGAGAAGACTGGTATGACAGAGAAAGATGGGGACTGGCGGAAGGCGAAGACCTCAAGAAGGGCGCGGACGAGGATGAGATTGAGATGGTCGAGGAAAGCCGCGCTTCAAACAAAAGAGGCAGAGGCCGGCGAGCATAGATGCGATGGCTCACTTCTACAGCTCACAATTATCGATGCTGGTTACATAGATCGATGGCTCGGGGTTTGTTGGGTTTTTAACATTTTCTGATCCTGGCACGAGGCATCTTCGGCAGCCGTCAGCAGCTACTGCCATGGCTTCTGTATGACTCAAAGATCTCTATGAGATACGAAGCATTATCTTTATATTTACCGGATACTCATCCTAGGGAGTTTGGGGCGTCACAAATGATATCCATGATTTATGCTGTAAAGGAAGGTGTAAAAGCAGGCAGAAATATATTGTCTCTTGACTTCTTTTTGTTCTATGACTACTCTCCATATTCGCCCTCGTATCATTTGGGACGTGTCTTTCACGTTTTTGTTGTATCTTCTCAGGCTTCCTTCCATTGTTGAATCCCACTCTAGCATCTCGATCACGTAGTTCCTAGCCCCCCGTGGGGCTGTGTCTATCTATTCCCTCCCGACTGACATGGATTGATGGTTGTTGAAAGTCCAAAGACTCAATCCTGTAAGTGTTGGCCTCGCCTTTGGTCGCGGCTTGTACTGGCCGCGGTACCATAGCACTTTTACTGGCTCTTGCCGCCTTGCTTGGCCTTTGCACGTTCGCGCTCGCGCTTGGCATAGATCTCAGCAGTGAAAGGACTACAGAATCGTGGGTCAGTGGGCACGGCATGGATGCTTCGAAGAGATATAGGGGCATGTTGCGTAAGGGCAAGAATCCAAGGAAAAGTATAGCAGACTTACTCCTCCCACTGAAGAGCAAACCAGTACAGAATGAACACCTCGGCGGTCAGGAGGATTCCGGCAACTTTGCCCTTGTAAAGGGCGACACCCAGGAAATTCAGAGTGCTTCCCCAATACATAGGGGAGCCAGTGACATTGAAAGGGAAGCCGGTGACGGGAGCATCCATGAGAATACCAAAATAATCTCCGAGGTAGGTTCCGGTGACGCCTAGGGCATACATGCTGGAAAGAACGAGAACGGATCCCACAGCGAACAAGACGCCGCCGAGAATTGGTTGGTGCACAGGGGCATAATAGGGCTGGTCTTCCAGGGCCAACTGATACACATGGTCGCGCACGATTCCCAGGGTAAAGATAGCGATTGCGAGGAAGTAACAACCGTAATATGGATTACCGAATATACGAGTCAGGTAGTGTTTCCGATACTCTACAAAAGATGGCGAAAGATTTAGAACATGAGCCTTCTATACTGAAGAATGGATTGGGCTCATAAATTGAGGTTTAGTAGTGAAAGGGCGGGAGGAAGCCTTGACCAACCAGCACGGGCAACAATGCTGATGAAGGAAAGCCGTGGTCAGTCAACAGTCTCTAGGAGTAATTCAGAGAGCCGAGGAATTCATCAAGAGAACAAACAGCGGGAAACACCTACTTCCAAAAGATTGGGTTGAAAGCGATGGAGAGTGCAGCCCCTATGAGATCAGCCAGCCGAGTTGAGAATCACATGCGTGCGTACAGATGAGAGTTAAGACGTACACTTGAAGGACGATTGAGATACATCGATGAAATTTGAAAGAGTAGTCATTGTGTGGAAATGTCCAGGCCCAGGGTAAGGATGAGATACAGAAAACTGAAAGGTAGAAGTGGAGGACGAAGAGAGATTTTGGGTGAGGTGTTGTTGTTGTTGGTTGGGGAAAGTGGAGAGAGATAAATACTACTAGGACAAAAAAGAAAAGAAAAGAAAAAGACGACAGCTAAAGCGGCATGACGTCTTTGCTCTTCTCCGCAAATACAAGATTGGTAGAGACTGAAAGCGGTGCGTATTGAAATTGCAATACTACTTGTACTAGGTACACGTACTAGTACTAGTAGTGGGGACTACATACGATAGGCGGTACGTACTGTCATTTCACCCCGGGACCTCGGGATCAACCCAATCGATACCTCCTCACCGCCCGGCGACCACCATTATCGCCGATCATCCAGTATTAATCCACACTGTATCAAGCTTCCCCCTCTAGCAACCTTTTATAAGCCCGGACTTTAACAGCTACCTACCTTTTGAAATCGTCATGAGACAATTCTCATTCGTCGTACGAGTGCTCCGGGGAAAATGGCCCTGAAGTGTCGTGATATCGTCATACTGGGCACTGGTGCTTTCATTGCTTGGGGACTGGCTGTACGCTGCCTACCATTTTTGCGATACCTTGGGTATGCCGTTGGACTAGGCGTTCTGCTATCTTCAGTCGCCTTCTTGGGTCTTGTACTCTTCACAACCCGGAACTCTAACGATGCAGACAACTCCCGGCCCCAGTGTCTGCCTATCGCGTTTCTCACTCCCCCCAACTGGCAAAGTGAAACGCAAGGTCTAAAGAAGCGCTCCATCTACAACTCCGCCTCCCTCTACCCGCAATCCTTTATGGTGTCTGAAGGTATTGATGAGCTTCTGGCGCTGGTAACCCGGGATTTCATAACGTCATGGTACCGAGGTATCAGTCCGAACCCAACGTTTGTGAGTGAGGTAGACCAAGTGATTCGAGCTGCCATTGGAAACCTACGCGATCGGTTACTTGCGGAAGATCTGATATCACTCATCGTCTCCCGTATATTTCCTATTCTGGCCACACACCTTAAAGAATTCGACGTTGCCGAACGATCGGTGCGGGGACGGAATTTGACTCGAAATGTCACCGAATCCGATGAGCTCGACATTGCAATTGCAAGCAAGTACCGCGATGGCCATCTACATCCCGCTGCACAGCTGTCTCTCTCAGATCAAAAGCTAGTAGAGCAGGAATACCTTAGGAAAGTTACAGTTGGGCTACTGCCTCGATTGTTTCCTGAAACCGTTTTAAGCAGTCGTATCGTTTCCGTTTTGGTGAGGGAGCTACTTTCATGCGCCGTGCTTTTCCCTATACTGTCCCTTCTGTCAGATCCTGACACCTGGAATCAGTTGGTGGAAGCTTATGGACGGACAGCTCTTCAGGATCGCAAAACGGTGCGCAAGCTTCGAGCGGCATTGGATGAGCATGCATCGCCGGTGCCCAAGTCAAAACATGGGAATCCATTTCCGCGGCTCTCGCCAACTGATTCAGAAAGGGCTTTTGAGCGTTTTGTTCGGGCCATCCGGCGTTGTAACAATCTTTCCGATGCTAGACGGTTCCGAGCTCTTGTTGCAAGCCAGCTGAAGCGGGAAAGTATGGTAGAAGGGCAAGATCCCGTCTACCTTCGGCGATTAGAGACAGGGAAGAGAGTTCTTGACCAGAAGGTGACGAAACTTTCAGCTCCAGCTAGTAGTCGCGCATCGCACGCCATCGCAGCTACGACGCACTTCCGCAGCCAAAAATCTCCACCAGCTCAAGAGGCGTCCTTGGTGGATGTAATGCATGATGCATCAGGTCTCTCTTACTTTATGGAGTTCATGGACCGTCAACAACTCATGTTTCTCGTGCAATTCTGGATTGTCGTTGATGGCTTACGCAACCCACTCGAAGATGACTTTGGTGATGAGACCTCCCCAAGTTCCACGACATGGACGGAAACAGATAAAAGTGACATGGCTTTAATCAGTGAAACGTATCTGTCGAAACCTCAACTCAAAGTAACGGCCGAGTCGCGTCGAGCTGTGAAAACCTTCTTGAGCGCCGGGAGGCGAGCTACTCCGGAGCAGTATCGCCAAGCTCGGACAGTAATATTGACTACTCAATCTGCAGTGCTGGAGGAACTACAGAATGTCTATTACCCCAAATTCCGACAATCCGACTTATTCTATAAATATCTCGCCTCGGATGAAACATCTCATTTTGAACCTCATACGGCAACTGTAGCACATGAAGATGTCGCCCCTACCACGGAGATATCCGAGAGACGGCCACTTCCTCCATTGATGGGCCGTACAGCATCTCATCCTGGGTTCAAATCGAAAGACCTGCGCAGGGCCGCCGTTTCCTCTAGTGATGTACGGACTGTGGGGAAACTATTTGACGATGACGATTCTCCAAGACGTTCCTTGGATTCCGAGCGGTCTGCCCCGTTATTCGATGACGATTACGACACAGATCCTCTTGCGATGTCAACGCAGAGCCTTGGTCGCGACTCACAGAACGGCGAGAACGAAGCGAGTCAGAATCAGGTAATTGAAACTATGGAGGCTGCATTGAACGATATCATTACGAACGAGCCAAAAAGTAATAGATTAGAAGAGCTCAGAAACAATGATGTCTCGTCACCTAGGCTGTCCAGCAATGATCGATATCCACAATCACCTCCTAGCTCTCTGGAATTCACACGAGTAGACGACAAGACTAAGCCCAACATCTCGTCTCTAGGGTTGGTGGATGAATCTTCGCGACTGGGTGTTTTTGCTGACGATCTCTTTCCCGACCATCATAAATTCATTGAGGACGAATATGAGGAACCCGCTGAAATAGAGGACAAAGATCCAGCCGACGAGGTCCATGAAGCCGCTCCTGGAGATCTTGGCTTGACGGAAGCGATCGAGGCACTAACGGTTGAGATTGAAAAACTTGGATCCCAGGAATCAGTAGTTGATGCCTTGACGCGGAAAGCTGAGCTCACAAACAATACTGCAGAACTCAGAATTCTACGAAAGTCAAAAGCTAGCATCCAACGGGAAATCCGCCGCAAGGACATGCAGCGACAACAGTACATGATCCAAGAAAGTGACAACAGCTTATATGGTCGTTCGACTGTTCGAATTACATCTATTGTTGTGGGGAAAGAAGAGGACGGTCGAGAATTTGCAATGTGTATGTTGATTTCACCTCCTTCCTTTTCCTGATGGTGTTGCTTGACTAACGATTGTTCTAGACGTGGTTGAAGTGCAAAGGAATGCCGGAGAACAAATGCCAGCGGCATCCTGGGTTGTTGCCCGCAGATACAGTGAGTTCCATGAACTTCACCATAAACTCCGCATGAGGTATCCATCGGTGCGGCACTTGGAATTCCCACGGCGACGGATGGTCATGAAGCTTCAACGGGAGTTTTTGCAAAAGCGGCGCCTAGCGCTAGAGGCGTATTTGCAGAAATTGCTTCTCCTTCCAGAGGTTTGCCGAAGCCGTGACCTACGAGCCTTTCTCTCCCAGCGAGCCATCATCCCACGCGACGAGACCCCTCGTGATGGAGAGACTAAGGACTTAGTGACCCGAATCTACAATTCGGTTGCTGATGGTATGGATGATTTCCTGGGCAACTTTGGTGTACTCGATCAGCTCTCGACAGCAGGGCAGAATCTCATCTCTGCAGCAACTAGCCAGCAAGCCAACACTGTAACTGACACAGGGCTAGCGACCGAGGATGTCGTGACTACAGCCGAAGCTGAGGCAGAGCTGAACGCATTTGAGGATCGAGAACTGGAACCATTTATCAAACCGATTTGCGATCTGTTCCTAGAGGCCTTCGAGTTGAACAAAGGCAACAACTGGCTCCGGGGCCGTGCAGTTGTCGTCGTTCTCCATCAATTACTTGGAGGAACCATCGAACGGAAGGTCCGCGAAGGTGCCCGATCCCTGGTACAGGACGAATCATTGCTTCGATACATTGGCGTAGTCAAGGAATCCCTGTGGCCAGGCGGCGTCCTACGTGAAAATAGAATTCGAACGACATCAGAGCGACTGAAAAGTCGCACCGAAGCTAGCCTGGTCTTAGCCACCTTAATCCCGGATATGGCGGGCAATGTAGTCGGACGGACCAATGCTCAGGGAGCCGCGCGGAGAATCTTTGCGACTCTGAATAACCGGCGCCTCAACACTCACTTGATGTACACTATTTTGGATGAGATTGTATTGGTGTTGTTCGGTGGTGGTGAAACGGGACGGATGCGATAACGCATGTCTGCCTCATCCATGAACGGCTTGAGCTTTGGTCATCGTAGTTTCTTCTTCTTCTTTGACCTTTGGTACACCTTTGCGGGCGAGGCATTACTCTTACGGTCTTTGAGGATCAAAGTCTTTGCCCGGCGATGTACCGTGATAGTGTTCCATAATGATAATGGTAATAATACTTATTATAATAATAAATAACGACAACAATAATAAAAACCATAAAGACTCGTATATTCGCAATGATTGTTGCGTCACAGTGCTTCTCGTCCATATCATTGCTAGACCAGGGAGCTCCCCGGTTTTCAGTTCATCATCTTGAGTATAGAATGCACAACATACGGCCGAATAGCTACTGTGCAGAATTAACCATCGGGCATAGTCTCTAGATTATGCTAGCCTTGGATTTTATAAGGAACACCGTTCCTCATGTGTCAGTATTGCCAAGAGTGAGCGACTCCTTCTACTGAGGGTAAAGACAGCAGGGGCTTGCACGTAATCTCCATGCCAATAAGTAGACTAGTCGGGATAGGGGAAGACTGAAAATAGAAGTGCAGTAATATTGAGATTGTAGAATCAAATCAAGCTATGTAGGGAAATCGCCCTCTAGTCCAGGCTTCTACATCCTGAAACAAGCCGTAGGGAGGTGCTAAGAAGCAAAATGAGAGTAAAGATTAAGTCTGGAAAGTACGTCCTGGGCAGAAAAGGAGAGCAACCATTGGCACTTAGCACACCAATAAACATGCCCGTTCTATGCCTCTTCCTTCTTCTTCTTGGACTTCTTACTTGAGGTCTGTGGAGCCGGGCCTTCCTTTTTCTGGTGGACGATTAGGCGTGTCCAGCACTCTTCCTTGTCCCACTCGAAACCAGCAAGGTAGGGTTTATCCAGCTCATCATTAGCCTGCGTAGGAACAGACGTTCGTCAGTTTCACTCTTGTGATCTACAAAGTATATTCGGGATTGTCTCATCGCAGCCGCAAGGAGATTTATGGCAGGGATATTCGACATACCTTCTTCTTGAACTGCTTGTAGATAGCGTCCAGCGCGTCCTTGATTGTGACTCCCTTGAGATTACGAGCAGTCACCTCCAATCCCAACGGGAAATGCAGATCAATCTTCTTCACCGGGGGGGTTACGAGATGGAGTTTGAGGATATCCTTGTCCTCAATTGTAGACGGCGAGGTGTTGAGCTTCCTAGGGAAGATAGAGTTAGTGCAGGACTTAGGGTACTCGAAACTAGTTCTTACCACCCGGTCTTTTGTGTTTCGATGGGGAGAGTCAACTCGATCTTTTTTTCCTCTAGAAGAAGACTTCCGGTTAGCGTAGTCCTTGGATAGGTGGCAAGTGCCCTGAGTTCCAGAAGGGGAAAAGTTTACCCAAGTCCTTGATATTCCAGATCCCGTCCGACTGAGATGACTGGCGCCTGTGAGTCTTCTTTGACGCCTTGTCGGCTTCTTTCTCCTCCTTGGGAGTTATTGACAAGCCAGCAATGGCAGAATCGACTTTTGTGAGTTCGGCTGACATAGTTGGGGTAGGGGCGAGTGTGGGGAAGGATCAAGAGGAATATCGATGCTGACCAGCGTTAGCGTTGGACGTCATGACAGTAGGGTGTATGAAGCTTTGGTATTGGTGCTATAAAGCGAAGATAGAGAGCATGGAGAACTTACCAATCAGTGGTAGGAATCGCAGAGTAGGTATGGTTAAGATCCGGATAGGATGAGAAGAGGATGAGAGAAGGGATGAGGAAGAAGAGAGTAGAAGAAGAAGAAGAAGAAGAAGAAGAAGAAGAAGAGGGAGAGAGGAGGAAGGGGGGAGGGGGCATGAGGGAATGTCAGAAGGAGGGAGGGCAGGTGACCTGACTGGCCCATCCAAAGTACATGCTCAACGGGTACTATCCATTCATTGTACGATACTATACCAGACGACTAGGGTTCCTCCCCATGATACCTACATTAGTACGTCGTACGAGGCGGGGTCATGGAACCCTAACTCTTCATTTGCAATTCGAGATTGGACCTCATTGAAGTCGTACCTATTAGCATCCTAGGTACTATCATGGATTTAAGATGGCTTGCCCTTATCCTTTACAGAAAAGAAATAGTAGGTATCTACATGCGGACATACATACACACCTTGTAGTAATACCTACACATTATAGATTCTGTATCGAGTAATGCTGATTACGATAAGTATTGCAACTTGAGTGAAGTAGTATGTTATTATAGCCTTCTTGTCGTAGTCAATCAGTCAGCGACCTAGTCGCAATAAGATACTAGAAGGTGGGGTGAGGAAGAGCATTGGGGGTTGGGACATTGCATTCCATTGACTATTTCAGTATTCACCACTTCTAGCAAACAGATAATTGAAGGCTTGCGAGTTATACTGAAATTCAGCATTGGAATGTATCCGGGAGAACCGGATCACACGACAAGAGAGCTGACATCGAGAGCTCCGGAAGTGGTCCACTAAGGCTGCACCCCGCATTCCCGCGCGCTCCACTTGCCCCATCACCTTATACGGAGGAAAGTGATCTTGATTATTGTTGTTGTTGTTGTTGTTGTTGATGTTGATATTTTCCCCCAAGAAAGTCCCAGGAAGCTAGATCATAATGATGATATGCTCATTCTCTCTCTACTAGTCTCTTCTCGAATAGTCATTGACGACATCCATTCCGGGAAGCTTCGTGGTAACTGGTCGAGATGAAAGTAAACCGGTGGCACCAGAATCTCAGGCAACCTTATTTGGAAAACTAGTCTCCGATCCCGTCCAAAATTGGAGGTCGTTACCTATTGATGGAATGCGTAACAAACAGACCCTCACGTGACACCCCATGGTGGAGCCATGTCTGTTACATACTACGTAGTCTCTGTCTCTCAAGAGTCCCTCTGATGCTTATCACATAAGAGATAATAAAAATGTAGGTAGTAAATAGGAGTGGCGAGTGGTGATGTATATATATTCCTCTAAGAGAGGAAGGAATGTATTCGAGATGTTTAAATAAAAAATCTATCTATTTCTTTGAAGAAGTGCACTTGAGATCACATTATCAGAACTGGTTTTTTTCCCGATGATCTCTTTATAACAATAACATCATCATCGAAAAAATGAAAAATGAAAAATGAGACAGTGTGGCCAGACTGGGTGGGGTGATATATCCCATAGAAAGTGGTGATGTTACAATGATCATATGGTTAGAGAGCGGGGTCATACTCCTACTAGACTAGGGCTCTTTAGTAGATCTGCAACGACTTAGTTAGCACTTAGCCCCTTCTTGTAAAGGCCTGTGCTACCTTTTGTCTAGACACGGAAAGGACTTCAGTACCTTCTGTTGATCATTTGCACTAATTAATAATTGCGTGGCAAGCAAACAATTCATGTTCTAGATTGTTACTTGAAGCTTCGGCAATGTTGGAGCTCGCTGTCGAGTACGTACAGCCTTTTTTTCAAACACATACACAGTATAAATTATTATATTTTAGAGATCTAACCACCTCTCTCTATCGCACAATCTACACCAGAATGCATCAGTTAAACACTGGGGTACCGAAAACATCTTCGGAGTATGGAGCTGAATTTCAACTACAAATTGCTTGGATGTACAAAGCTCTCCGAAAAGAGACATTAGTAGTAGAGTTACTTACTCGTAAATGACTGTCGAGAAATGTAAGTGTCGAGAGATCCCCGACGACCGTCTGGCTTAAAAGGCTTTAATTGTTCGGTCCAGTTGAAATAAGGATATCGAAGGATTGCTGCCCGTGGGATCCTTCTATACAGCATCACGGCAAAATTTCAATATGGACAATGTTATTGAAACTTCAATGAATAGCTAATTGCAAAAGTTTCGAGCATCTATGGCCATATGAACATGCTCGTACGTAGGTGATACTATACTACAAGTCTATAACGACAACGGGTCACGGGTAAGGTACCCCGAAGCAGTTCCGCAAGGGGCAAGGTGCTTCGGGAGCTGACTAAATGGGAGAGTTTGTCATGTTTGAAGGGCGGTGTACAGGGGTGAAGATACTGCCGCATCCTCATTAAGGCATTAATGTGTCGCGGCTGCAGAACGCGCGACTTGCCAAATTTATACTGAGCTCTTTCTCTTCTGCCCTATTACATTGCCAATTCGCTAGCCAACGTTAGTATTTATACAGAAAGATCCTACGGCTCGTGGCTGACTAGTTTTCTGCAGCTCGATATAGGCCTAGTATTAATTTTCCGATCCGTTCTCACCAAAATCCTGTGAAAAGCAAAAGTTCTCATTCGAATGTCGCTCTTCGGTTCTGTCGGCACTACGTCGACAACAGCGGGCCAAACAAACACCACCGGCGATATATCTAAAGATGTCGCCCTCAATTCGCCTCCTGAAGATAGCATTTCTGATCTTCAGTTTTCTCCCGCCAGTGAACATCTTGCAGTAGCTTCATGGGACAAGAAAGTCCGCATTTATGAGATCAATGATCAGGGACAGAGCGAAGGAAAAGCTCTCTTTGAGCATGAAGCTCCAGTCTTAAGCTGCTGCTGGGCACCGGTAAGCCTAGCAAAGTCTCGTGCCGCTTCATTTCTCTAGCTAACTGACCTTTCTCGCTCTCCAGGATGGAACGAAAGTAGTAGGCGCTGGTGCCGATAAGGCCGCACGCATGCTCGATCTCGCTGCCAATGCTACCACCCCCGTCCAAGTCGCAGCCCATGATGCTCCGATCAAATGCTGCCAGATGATTCCAAACCCTGCTGGAGGCACACCCCTTTTAGTGACCGGCTCGTGGGACAAGACAGTCAAATACTGGGATCTACGGCAATCGACCCCGATCGCCACGGTAGAATGTCAGGATCGTGTCTACACCATGGATGTCAAGAACAAGCTGCTAGTGGTTGGGACTGCGGACCGATACATCAATATCATCAATCTCGACAACCCCACCAAATTCTACAAGACTATGCAATCCCCTCTCAAGTGGCAGACGCGAGTAGTCAGCTGCTTTACAGATGCCACAGGTTTTGCTGTTGGCAGCATTGAGGGCCGCTGTGCTATTCAGTACGTGGAAGACAAGGACTCTAGCTCGAACTTCAGCTTCAAGTGTCATCGAGAGACACCCCCAAACCAACGCGACATCAATAACATTTATTCCGTCAATGCTATCTCTTTCCACCCGGTTCATGGCACGTTCAGCACCGCCGGCAGCGATGGAACCTTCCATTTCTGGGACAAGGACGCCAAACATCGCCTAAAGGGATATCCCTCCGTAGGGGGGACCATCTCCAGTACAGCATTCAACCGCAATGGTAATATATTTGCCTACTCTGTGAGCTACGATTGGAGCAAAGGCTACTCGGCCAACACCCAACAACTTCCCAATAAAGTAATGCTTCATCCGGTTGCTCAGGAAGAAGTGAAGCCCAGACCCGGTACCAGGAAGAGGTAATCTCATCTTATCTGGGTTATGATGTTGGCGCAGTTGGGGGTTTGGTGTAGTCGGTGTCAGCCTTGGGTTGGTATCTTTCGAACTTTTGAGTCCCTTGTCCAGTGATATGAATGGTCAGCGGTCGACAGCTCCCTTCCTGCGTTACTTTCTTGAGGGTTTGGCTGTTTTATCTTTTTATGTTATTATCCCCGATTTATGTACCTTTTTTTCACTTTTTCCTGTAGGAATGCATATGAGCGAATTAATCTATGATATCTTTGCATGTTTGCAATTTCTCGTGGATGAAAATGCACTCCAGTTCCATGAACAGGGAAACAGTAGACCAATGTGGGATTCTAGTCTCTTTGGGAAAGTTGAAACGTAGAGGGTGCTGCCTGTAGAGCATCGATAACTCCCCGGGTCAAAAGAAGGAAAGAAAGGAAATGAAAAGTCATGGAACTTATATCGGTACTTTGAATATAAGTAGCCTCCCTTACCTGTCAATCTGGCAAGCCCTGGAAGTTGTTCCCGCTTCTTGAGGTTGTTTGTTTCTTATGCTCCATTAGGAAGGATAATGAATGGTCACCATAAGTGAATGGACGTCAAAAAGTGGGGTGGATTTTTTTTATTATTATCAGAGGGCAGGGAGAGAGAGGTTTCTCTGTACCGTGTGGGTATTGTGGCACCAGAAAGCAAAAGATTAAAAAAGAGTAAGATAAGGAAAAAGAAAGAAGATCACAAAACACTTCACTTCCACAATTCTAAGGCCTCAACTCCTCGACTGCCGGTCGGTTCCGAAATCCGTCCCTTCTGTCTCTTCCTTTTCCCTTTGTTGTTCTTCCCTTCTTTGATATCGTTACAACCCCGACCCCCCTCACTTTCGGAAGGTTATTGATATGGAAAACAACTTACTTGAGGGTCTCCTCGACCTGGAGGAAGTATTTTACAGGGAAGGCTATGATTTGGGAGCTGCCGATGGCGCGCAGGCTGGCTACACCGAAGGCAGTGTATTTGCTGTCGAGAAGGGCTTTGAAAAATTCCTCGAAATAGGAAGGCTCTACGGTAAAGCCCTGGTTTGGTCACAAAGACAAGCCGAGCGAGACCCATCCAACACTAGAGATCCTTCCCAGATGTCTCAGCTACCTAGTGAGAAGGATGAAGATTTTTTGGAGCCATCTGTTTGCAGAGAGATGTCGAGCGTTCCCCCCAGCTCTAGGCTAGCGAAGAATGTCGACACACTTCTTGAATTGGTTGACCCGGCGTCTTTGCCCATGCAAAACATAGAGGAAGCCGTTATTGACGTGGATGAGCGCCTGAAGGGCGCGCTAATCAAGGCCAAACTTATCCAGCGCGCACTGGGCGAACGAGACGATGCTGGGGATATACACCCTGATGCAAAAGACTTTCCCCAACAGAAAAGTTCTGGGGATGGAACTGGCAGCATTGAAGACATCAGCTCCCTGAAGCTCCGTCCATGAAGGAAGTTGTTTCTAAAATCATCCTCCTCATTCTCCCTACCAAGGCCACTCATACCCAGCCACCGGTACCCTTCGGAGTATCTCCGATAGAGAAGCCAACGATGATGACATATCCTACTCCCAAGATTCGGATTAAATCATCTCCCTTTCTTTTTATCACGGGGACGGGTAATAAGAGTGAATTGAATTGTCGAACTTGGAGGTCGATCATTGCTCCACAAATCTATGGTCACCCCCACGCACCGATTTCTCGATGGCAATCCAAGGCCACTTGCCGGTCTCGCGTCATGTCTGTCGGATACGGTCCTGTTGGTGTGACCCCTCAGTTGTTCCTCCCTTTCCTTGCACTGATTTTCCCGGGGGCTGGAGTCCTTAAATAAAAATGTGTGTTTACATGCGTGTGTGTGTGTGAATTTGTCCCATGATTCCTTCGGAAGAAGAGTATATGTAGAACAATAGACGTCAGAGTCGGCAGTCGCTTGAACCAACTCCTCCTTTTGTTCTTAACCCCCCACCTTTCTTCCTATATATCCGATTCTTAGTCCTCGTGCATCTCTCCGGCCATGGCGTGGTTGCAGTTCCTGAGTCTTGTATTATCTGGGCTCACTCACGCCCAGACTGGAGTGACGTCCCCCATTGCAGAGGCATGCGGTCCTTCAGTAGTATGCATCAATCGTTATGCAAATGTGTTGCCGTAAGTCTATTGCAAGGTTTCATCGAGCAGGGCTGGTTCTTAGGGTTGATCAGATATCATTTCTTTCGAAACGTCTCTACTATGGATGACGTATCTACGTTTGGCGATACCACAGTTGCCAATGGTACTTTGCTGAAGGGTGTCAGCTCGGCCAATTTTCTGGTATATGATAAAGAAAGAGGTTTAGAGATCCTGGGTGCCGAACCAAGTTATAAGTTCATGTTTGCCGTCTCTGAAGCTGTCCACGAGGCTCCTGTGTACGTCGCATCGCAGAATAAACTCTACCTGTCTCAGCTAGCCCCCCCTCCTGGCTACCTCCCCCAGCTCGTCGTGGATCTGAATGAAGACCCACCAACGTTGTCCGAGTATCTCTCCGATCCTCCTGTCTATGCGCCTAACGGAGGTACATTCCATGATGGCAAAATCATCTGGGGAGCATCGGGCGGTAACCGATCAATCGGAGGCAGTGAACAGCGCATCTCTTTGAGGACACTGGACCCGGAGACCAATAAGTCGGTCACCCTGCTAAACAACTACTTCGGGTTTTATTTCAATACTATCGACGACCTGGCGGTGCATCCAAAGACAGGGGACATTTGGTTCACGGATCCACGTTAGCCACCCTCTGTGCTTATTTTGATATGAACCTGTCAGCTGACCCTTTGAACAGAGTATTCGTGGTTCAATGCCCTCACTGACACTCCGCCCCAGCTTCCAAGTGCTAGTTACAGGTACAATGCCTCGTCGGGCGCCGTTTTCGTGGTTGATGACTCTATTGGCCAGCCAAATGGTATTGCTTTTAGCCCGGAAGGCTCAGTCGTCTATATCACCGACACTGCCGCCGTGAGCGCGCCTGTCGATCCCCAATATGGCCATCCTGGCAGTCTATTCAATGCCACCCAGCGCAGGTAAGGAATATGGTTGGTCATGTCAAAAGATCAAGACACTAACGGAGACATTCCCGGTCAATGTAGGACTGTTTATGCCTTTGACGTAAGCGAAGATGGTACCAGCGCTTATAATAAGCGACCTATCTATATGGCCTCTGGATTCGTCCCGGACGGCTTGAAGGTGGCAGCCAACGGATACATTGTGGCAGGCGTCGGACGAGGTGTTGATGTACTTGACCCCTCTGGTCAACTTCTTTTAACTATCCAGACAAACTATACCGTTCAGAATTTTGCCTGGACTGGCCCCGAACTCAAGACACTCTGGCTTATGGGTAATGGGGGGATCAGTAAAGTTGAGTGGCAACTTGGAGGACAGGAGCTAAGGTGAATCTGTTGAAGACCGGGAAATGTGAGACGCCAAAGATTAGCAGTGTATGCTGGTGTGTTGGGTATGACCGCCTAACCAAAAAAGAAAAAAATACTGGCTCTTGGTCGAGAAGGGACATGCTGACGTTATGATAGTTGACAGTCGTTTGCTGGTTTCTACATATACACACACGTGAAATATATATATTCGAATTATCTAGTCGGTATTATATAATTCCTTAAATCCAAGCGGTAGACTTTTAGATATTTCCCGGCATGGGGCCTGTCAGCTGTATCGTAGTAGAGTGATGGATCGAATGGTGCATACTACCGTTAGCGCCCCGAGGGTGAAAAATAAAAGGAAAACTATTGTTCCAAGCCACGGACGGCCATGGCAAATGCGCCTTCCCTGGTCTTATGGCCACCGATGAAGCCGCTGGCATGGACAAAAACTGCACCCTCAGGGATCTTGGGCTTGCCGGTTTTCTCGGCTTCTGCGGCCATAACACCGTCGAGATCTGCATCGCGAACACCACGCCAGGTCTCTGGCAGAGGCTTCCTGGACACAAAGCTAGTTTCATTCACTGACACGCACTGCACACGCCATTTAGACCCTTCAGTAGCACTCTCGGGGTAGAGAACGTAATACACCTCTTCTTCGGAATTGGTCTTATCGGATTCCGATGCTTCCTTTTCGAAGTTATACAAATGCTCTTTCCATGGCACGCCGCCCTGAGGGAGAACAATAATACGGCCGGAAGGATGAACGTCGCGGCGGGACCTGTAGGAATTTCCTACAGTAGTACGTGCAGGTAACCACGACGTACTGGCGTGGTGCAGTTTGCGAGTGAAAACGTTTCCAATGAAGGTACTTGCTCGGCCAAAGAGACTGTCCTCATCCTGAGGCTCTCCGGGCGGGCAGGTCGGATCCGGGTTATTCATGTCGCCCACCACCGATGTGATGGTGATGGCACCATCCTTGAAGCGCTTCTCGAGATTAGCAGCAGATATTTCAGCGGGATCGTAGGCTGAGATGCCATTGTCGTTGGCATCAATGGCCTCGATAAAATCTGTGTACAGTTTTTCGTACAGCAAGTTCACATCGTGATGATCCACAGGCAATGACGTGTGTTCAGCAATGATCGCTCGACCGAAATGCATGTATACTAAGCCCGCTGAGGATAATTTGGTATTGTGGTTGGGGAAGGTCGTGGAAAGCTACGCTGATGGTGATCATAGCGGTTGTTGGCGGGGTCATATTCCCCACCCACGTCGACGACAGTATGGCAGGTTGCTAGCTGCGCCGGATCTCTGGTACGGATGAGGGGAGAGGCAGAATAGGTGGGGAGCTGTCGGAGTAGATAGACTGCGAGGGCCTCGTCGGCATGAAAGTGGCCGCTGAGAGATGTATATCAGTAATGAGGGACCTGTCATTGGAGTAAGGTTCAAGCGGCAGGTAAGTGAGTACCTATGAGTCCCAATCAAAGGAGACGAGGTCTTGATTTTCTTTGCAATAGTCTCGTCGGCCATTTTGAATAACGGTCGGAATCGCAGCATCCAACAATTTCGCGTAGGTGCACAGAGTAGAAAACTTGGAGAAGCTGATACCCCAAATACAGAGGTATGGACGGTATGTACCTATTCGCGACTAGACCATCTACGGAACACTCTCTGATACGAATATGGTTATTTAGGGCTTCCATCAGAGGGCTTTCTAAAAGCATGTGAGAGCCAGCGCCAAAGATACGCTATCCCCAAACTAGTAATAGAATTCTGTTGGCCGGGCCCAGGCTAGACCCGACTACCTAGCTAAACGAACGATTCACGACCTTACCGTACTTCTTGCGATCCAACACTGGCGATATGTACTATATGTTTTATTAACGACGAGAGGCGTTGTGTGGTCATGACAGAGAAGTTGTGCCACAACAGGATGAAGAACAGTAACGTAACGACCTGAGGATGTACCCTTGCCCTGGCAAGTTTGGCTTGATCAGGTTTGAGGGGGGATATATCTTGTACTGAAAAGAGGAGAGGAAAGGGACAAAATATTACAGCACCTCTAATTGTACGGAGTAAATAAAGTCTCGACCGTTGGTATATTCACCATCTTAAGAAAAGGTACGATGTACTCTATCCATATAGTAGAAACATTGTAACCAACTCGGATTTATATTCATTCTTTTCTATCCTTCTCTCTTTTTTATTTATACCTCAGTACATGTGTTGCTAAGCACTAGCGCGGCGATTGAATGTTAATTATCCACAAAAAGAAAAGGCTTTATCTGGGTTGTACCTTTTTCATTACAACTGCCACGTGAAAATCATCACATCACATTCTGTCCCGCCTGGAAACAAAGAAAGCGAGATAAGATCAGAGTGTCCACCAAAGTAAAAGGGGAACCTTAAGGCTTACACACGGTACAGATCGTTAAAAAAAATACCTGAAAGCTATAGAGAAAATAAAAAGAGGAACATCGCTCTTGTTCTTTTTAAGATTGATCCATGTGTATTTATTTACGAGCCTTGTCTTTCCTGTCTATTTTTTCTTATTCTGACTTTA